ATTGTTTGTTAATCTCTGTATTTTACATAGGTACAAGTGCAATAAAAAATAGTATATGAAACAAAGAGCTTGACTAAAACGAACCCATCTTATTAATTCTATCTTAATAAGACAAATAACTAACCATAACAACCTATCACAATGTAGGCATACATATATACTCGTATTGTTTAAATATAAATTCAATCGGTCATCAAGTCGTTCAGAATTTTTCGATCACTAACACTAAGAAAGGCATCAAGCTTTACCTAATATAAAGTATTATAAAGATTATCATTGGACTTTTATACATGCTTTAACCGACTTCTAAAAAGGAGAAAGTACGGTATTAGGTTATTAAAAGATAAAGCTTGTGTAAAATAGGTACCTAAGTTTTATATAATGATACCGTTCTTACCAACAGAGTAAAAGAGATAGAATAAGTTTCAATTCAATATATTTTATAACGAAATTTTAAAGAAAATATTGCATTTGAAGTAAAAGAGCAATTTAAAGTTGACACGCGTAGAGTGCAAGCGAAGCGTCACTCGCTCGAGTCTTAGAAAATTCTTCGCGCGGAAACGCCGCTCGGGATTTTCATAATGTCGCCTTACGACGTATTCATATGATAATCTGCAAGAACACGACTACTTTGTATAGATACAGACTTTCATTTTTATTTTTTTAATATTTTATAATGCATTTTACACGCAACACACATTTATTTGTTTTAAAATTTAGCATGATGCTTCTAAAACGCTAAATGGATGTAGGAAAGGAATATCAAATTCAATAATATAATTTTGTATCGACTTTTCTTTTGCTTCGTAACTATTTTTCAGTAAATTGTATGTATTTGTTGCGTGTAATTTATCGTTGATTAATTAGAGCCGAAAGTCTAAATCATACAATCTTAATTCTTGTTAAACTTTACTGTGGACTTTAATATACAAAAACAATCAGACTTCTGTAATAAATACGAAAGTTTGTATGTCTGTAGGCATATGTTAGTCTCTCCTTTACACTTAAACGGCTGGACTTAGATAAAATTTAGTATGTACAAGTATAGACTGTGTACAAGTAAAATTTTAGCAGAGGTAAGCCGTTCCAAAAATATACAAATATATATATATATATATATATATATATATATATATTTATATATATATATTTATTTATATGTAATGTATGTATGTATGTATTTTAAGATTACACGTCTTGTATGGACCCTTCGCCACTGCTGTATAGGTATACTCGAAGTAATACATAGGCAATCTAGTACACACCCGAGTGAAGGTAGAGTAAGTCTATAGTATATTTATAAATAAATCTGCATTCCTGTTATCTCTGAAAGCCCATTCCATATTCGCCAGCAGTCGGCACATGCAATTTGCAAGGCGGTGATTTCGCGAGCATTCTTCACTTTCCCGGACTTGAGGTCGTAAATTACTGATCGGCGACTCTTACATCTTTGAGGGTGCAAAGTTTAATTTCTATGAGAAGGTACAAATTCTACTTCAAATTCTTTATTTTCCTTTTATAACTAATAGTAATAATTATTAATTTGAATACGTTTTATTCCATAACTGAGTGAATAAATTGTATAGTAGAGAAAGTTATGACTCCTACGTATAATTTGGATTAAGGCAGAGAGAGGTAAATAAAACGTTTCTAGTTTAAAGATTATATGCTTTATATTATCCGTATTAATATTAAAAATGTGAAAGTTTGTTAGTATGGATGTTTATTACTCTTTCACGCCAGAACGGCTGAACGGATCGGGATGAAATTTGGCACAGAGATAGATTATAGTCTGGAATACACAGACTGACGGACAGACACATAAAAATTCTAAAAACTATAGATTCGGCCTCTGTAACGATAATAATGCTATTTCAATAAGATTTTCCAAAAAATATTTAATGTACAGATTCGGCTTAGTTACAATATAATAAATATTAAATGGAACGAGATTTGAAAGAGAAGATCTAGAGTACATTTTCATACTTTTCATACATATTTATTTCTGAAAAGTTAATTTACTGTTTGTACCTATTAACTCTTTTTATGTCCAATCACAGAACTAAGAAAGTTCTGCGAGTACTACCTACCTAAAAGTATTAAGTGTATTGAAGTTTCATATTAAATAGTGTAGCTATATTATTTTAACCACGATAATGTAATATTACCGTGTTTTAACTGTGAATTAAGTCGCTTATTATCTTGGAAGCCGATAATTGTTTCATTTTGGCGGAAAAATATAAAAAGTAAAGTATGCCAAGATAAACACGTTTGATTTTCACCAAAGCATCTTTATATATACATATATGATTTAGTTTTCGGATCATTACTTAACGTACAGGCCTAAAACATATTTTACGGATATTTAATAAGAGCTTGAATTGACAGCAGCAAGCAATAATACCTACAGGCTACAATAAACTTTATTATATATCATATTCACGTTGAACCGTCCTTTTCGTTGCACTTTTTTATTAAAACACAGTTGAAGTTACAAGTACTATTATAGTACTTTTAAATACCTACTAGCTTTTGCCCGCGGCTTCGCTTGCTTGGTAAGTGGGGTTGAGATGGCGTCCCCAGGTGCAATCCTTACCAATTTTAATCGAAATCTATTCATGGTTTAAGCGTGAAAATTAACACACAGTGCTAACTATACATACGCAAAAATTACAAAATATTAATGATTACTCATGTTTATTATATCTCGTTTTAATTGAATATTTTCTTTTACTAAAATTAGTCTTTGATATGTTATTTAACAAACTTATTTACTATTATTATCATAAACAAAAAACAATAGTTGGTACATAACTAACTAGAGACCTCGCTGCTCCCGGGTGCGTCCCTAGGTACGCGGATTTTCGGAGATTAGCTGGAACAACAACGAACAGAACGGAACAGATAGACAGACAAAGACTTTTAAAATCTGCCAGTTAAAGGCCCGTCAAAATCAACCCAGCCGTTTCGGAGATAGCCGGAACAGTCAGACAGACAAAAAAAATGTGTTTTTTACTATAAGTACCGTATGTACCGACCGTACCGACTGTATTTGCTAAATAGCTGTTATTTTTACATTTTGTACACATTATTTATTCTTAAAGACGTCTGCATTAAATATACCTATGTAGGTATAAGTAAGTGCTTTATAGGCTGTAGCATTCCACAACAAAACAAAATCATACATACTTTTAGGGCTGGAAAGTAATAAATATTAGGTACTTTTGACTGCGTGAAAATTTTCATTTCCATGAAAAAATACCTTTTAATACGTAACCGAATAAGCAGTTATGGGAGCATCATACCTAATGATATTCTTAGGCATCTAGAGACAGTGGGTAACTAGTGATTAAATAAATAAATGTTTTATATTAAGTGACTTTAATGTCTTTGTAAAACATTTATTATATATAACTTTATAAGAGATACATTGAAAAATAACTTTAGTCACCTTTTGAGAAAGACGTTACTAGTATTTCCACAATTTTTCTAATATGAAGAAAGTTCTCTGGAACATAAATAATCTTAATACTTTTATGTTAAAAGACCTACACAATCACTCAAACTGTATAAAAATTGGATGTATCTGGTAGCTGATAACAAAGTAAAATTGATTCGATATTTTAATCTAACCTAGAAATAGCTAACTTAACTACTATGAACCTGCTATCAACGTTTAGCTACAGTAGGTCAAGCAAACCTCGACATTTCAAAGAATATGTAAGCTCAAAGATATTCTAAGCTAATTTTTGTTATTGTCTGATATAACATAATAAATAAAAAAATTAATGAGACATAATTATATATGATAAAGAATAGCTTAGAGAACATGGTAGAGTGTAGTACTTATAGCGTTGCTATTTTATCTATACTAATATTATTAAGAGGTAAAGTTTGTGAGTTAATGACGTTGTAGGGGTTAATCTCTGGATCTACTGAACCGATTTTAATGAAATTTGGTATAAAGATAGTTTGCGACCCTGTGAAGGATGTAGGATACTTTTTATCCCGGAAAGCATCCCTTAAGAAAGTGAAAATGAGGACGAAAGTTTGTATTGGGAAGCAAGCTATATTAAAAATATGATAAACTGGTTTTTGCCCGTGGCTATGCCGTTATACGCTATTATAAGTTGGTATTACAGGTTGGTGATAAAAATCCCCATGATGCAATCTATGTTCTTCCCAAATTTCATCAAAATCAGTTCAATGGTTTTAGAGCAAAAAAGCCTCTGATAAACAGACACAGGAAGTTACTTTCACATTTATAATATGAACATACCTGAGCGACCCAGCTTCGTTTGATTTTTTTTTGGAAAAGATATAAAAAATACATTTTTTTCTTAAAAGACATCTATATAATCTTAATAAGGAAAACATTATCTAAATAATAAATTTGATCAAAATTCTTAGAGCAGTTTCTGAGATACACGAGATAAATTTATAGGTACTTAAACAAGAATTGCTCATTTAATATTAGGTATAAGATATTGCGTGTCCTATTTTAAAAATGAAACAAATAAATATCAACGGTATTGCACCTTTATTAAACTTTGATATTTAATCGAAAATCTTGTACTATTTACAAACGTGCCAACTACAAACATCTTATAACAAGAAACATATTTACATACTAAAATTATTATTAATATTAACATTTAATAAACGATTGCTTAAATATGAATCTTTGGTTTATTTTACAGTTCTTTGGTATAAACTAAATATTTTTAAATTCCTACATAATGTGGCCATTATTTAAACAGATATTTCAATATTTTTGACAAAGGCCTAAAAGTACACATCTTTAAGTTTGTTGTTGTAAAAAGTTTGATTTTTCTAGATTTTTTTTGAAACGAAAGAGAGTTTGAAAGTGAATTTTACCTATAAATCAATTATTATTAAATGTCCACACTTAGGTTGTGTCTAAAACTTCACACAAATGTCATTTCCTACATTAATTTTATTTAACAATTTTGTGTCAACTAGCGATTCATTGTGATTTAATTTTCTATTTCAATATTACTAGCCATACTTTCGTTACTATTTTCGTTTACATCAATATGAGGTTTGGGTTTATCGATTTTGTCGTCTTTCATAGAACTTTCGCCAAATTCCTTAACATTTTCGCTACTTTCACCATGACTTCTGTCCACTTCACATGGGATAGGCATTCCGAAGGGATGACCGGGATAGTACATATAGGGAATGGGTAAATTGGGGTAGTTTACCCCTAAGTGTGGGCCATAAAGACTCTGCAGCATAGCTTGGTTATAAGATTCTTGTAACAAAACCTTATATTCTGGATTCTTTGCAAAATCAACACCATACACTCCAGCGAAATGCTTCAAAATTGGAGATCCTTCTAGAATATTCGGGCCGAAAGGGTTCATTGTTTTGCCAATAGCCTGGTATTTGAAATCTGGTAAATTAGGTCCGTTGTTATTTACTAGAACTTTTACTGCGACCTTCCTAGCATTAGCCGCGGCAGCTGCTAGCATTCCGCTTTCTTGCATCTGCAATTGCTTTCGTTTTGTTTTGTACCGGCGGTTCTGGAACCATATTTTTACTTGGGTTTCTGTTAACTTCAAGCTAACAGCCAGGTCAGCCCGCTCTGGTCCCGACAAGTATCTTTGTTGGCTGAAACGTCGTTCGAGTTCGTATACTTGTGCGTGGGAGAAGGCCGCTCTCGATCTCTTTTTCCTTCCGTTTGTTTGTGAGTATTCTATTGGAGTGTAGTTCATGGTGCGGTCAGGAGGGGGCGTGGTACACTTTCTCTCGTAATGTAAGTTAAACGGTTTGTAGCTTATTTCTGAATTTGGGGATGAGTTGCTTCGTCGTACCGGAGAGCCGGTGTTTGAGGACCGCGAGTCGTAGTCGTCTGCAACAATTTTATATTATAAATACAAATTTAATAAATAGTATACCTATTTATTTTTAACAATAATATTTAACTAGAAATAATTTAATTTTATTTTTTGTTATTTTAAATTAGATTAAGCAATTTAGCAATTTAGATTAATAATTAACTGTAAATATAAAAATATTTAGGTACATATGTATGTATATCTCAATTATATTTATTATTATCGGTAGGTATATTACTATGATATCTAATTTCATGAACTTAGAAATATTATTAGACTGAATATTTGTTACGGTCACGCCATTCGTGTATAAAGCAGCTTTTACAATGGATCCATTACGCAAATTGTCGCCGATCATTAGGAGAATAAGTTGAATAGATCTAACAGTATTTTTGCGTGCGATGCAAACCTTTTGTTGAAAGTTAGATTACTCTATTCGTACAAAAAACTTGGTAAATTAATCTGCTTTTCAAAAAAAAATACAAGTAAATGATAACTATAATGATTTGTTTAGATACATTTTTCTAGGATAAAAAGTAGCCTATTTGTTATTCTGATGTACGAACTATATTATTGTAAAGTTTCATTTAAATCCAATCAAGAGTTTTTTTTATACTAAGCTATATAAGTTATTATAGTTTTTTAACTATCCCACGAGAACTCTTTAATTTTCCGGAATAAAAAGTATCTCAAATGTTGACCGGTGATATAAGGTAGGTACTACCATGCGAAATTTCATTTAAATCAGTATAACAGTTACGGAGATTAGCCCGTACATACAGACAAACAAACAGAGAAACAAAAAAAAACTGGATTTATTCTATTTCTCTTCCTACATCCCCCTGGCTCGGTTTTTAGCATTTTTTTTCTATGTACAGACATTCGACAGTATTATTATATGTATAAATTAGAGTATTATAAAAAATAACCTTTGTAAAATATTAACATACACATATTAAAAAAGCTTACAAGACTACATATCATGTGCTAAATAAAATAAAAGCTTTTAAAAATGTCCATATTGTGCTTACAAAAATCAATATTCAAACAATGCGGCATATTTGAAAGTTAATTCATTGGCACGTGGCACCATCCTAGTAATTACTTGATTGAACGCTTTAGTGCTTTAAGCGTCACTTACAATAATGAGGCGTAATAGCAAGTGTGACGTCGCAGGGTGACACCAGTGTAGACGCCCCATTATCTACGCATTGTCAAAGGTCTATATTTAGAATGCCCTTTTAGAGCTTTAAAAGAGAATCGTTTATAATTAATTTAATTTATTCTTATAATATTAATCTTATAATATATTATTTATTTTATTACATAAAATAAAAAAGTAAGCAATGGTATAATATTCTCAATAAGATTATTTAAAACTACGATTTAGCGTTTAGTATAGATTTCTCAGAGGTAACATATTTTCCCGTATAAAAAAGTATCCTATATGTTGACCCGGATAACCAGCTATTATCATAACAAATTTAAACAAAATCTGTCCAGCGGTTTTCTCATGATGTGTTCCAAGACAGATAGACAAGAATTCTAAAAACTATAGATTCGGTCTCTGTATCGATAATAAAGAATATTTCAATAAGATTTTCCAAAAAAATATTTAATGTACAGATTCGACTCAGAATTTTATTATGTATATGTATAGATTAAAAACATAGGTAGGTACTCTCTTTTTAATTACTTTGATATAAAAGAAGGAAAAATTCTTTTAATGTTATTCAACTAATCAAAATGTAGTCATATTTACTGTAGGTATGTTTTCTTTATTAGATATTTAAAGAATTTATAGCTTTTTGTCTTATTAAAACTTGTTCAGTTAATATCTATTCTCAACCCTCCAAAGTTACATATATTAATTACGTGATGGGTTAGGTACTTATTCGTATTCAATTGAAAATTTGCATACTGCTAAGGTACCTACTCATTGTGGTGGGTAGATTCAAATGTGTGCAATATCATGCTAAATCAAAGCTTGCAATTAGGCAATAATAGTGCTTATAGTATGTACCTATACGATTTTATTTTTGTAGTGAAACTTATTCAGGCGCGCCATGAGATGGTAAAAAAGGATTGGCGTTACGATTAAATAGTCAATTAAAAAGTATTTAAACTATTTTATGAATATTTAAAAGAATAAATTAAAAAAAAAATTGATACCTATTTATAAAAAAATATTTCTGTCATTTATTTTTTAATGAACGATATATCAAATGGATACTGTTAAAAAAATAGGTATTTTATAGGCATTATAAATATTTTTCACAAAAAAATTTGCATTCCTGTATTATTATTTATTTTATTGGAGTATATATTTTATTAAATCTTACAACATTTGATTGAAAATTAAATTTTATCTTAGCATCATTTGATATTATTCACAAAAAATAAAATATTGTTTTCCTTTTTAAATTGATAAAAAAATATTTTTTAGTATCTCTCCTTTTTAGTATATATCCTAAATATTTAATTATTTAAAACATAAATTGAATTTCATTAAAGTTCCTACCGATAACTAAAAGAAGTTTCACTTCATGCGCGTATAGGTACACATTCAAACACGCATATTAATATTATTAAGCCAAGAAATTGTTTATCCTTAATCTTATCAGTCCTGTTTCCGAAATTCGTTTGCATTTCATATCACGGAAGCGAAGCAATTATACTCCAATAACTATGCGAGCGGAGCCGCGTGTAAAAGAAACGAGTAGTAAAACTGTATTTATACCACAGCCGAATTCAGAAATGAGGTTCTCCTAGTCAATTAAGGATAAGGTCTTTATAATGTTTTATAAAAATTAAAGAAGTTACTCTTGCATAATGTTTTTTTTATTTTATAAAATTTATAAACGTAGTTAGCAAACATAACTCATGAAAAATACTAATAAAGCAAGAGGCTAAGCAAATCAAGTGGTTTACTAACTGGCTAACTAACTAGGTAGATACTACTACTTTACTGTCTGTATGATACCTACTAATATTGTCATGACATAATATTGGTTCCGGTAAAATTCAGCACTGGGCACTATGTCTATTTTTTATCAACGTATGTAGGTACCATGTGAGGAAACACTCATTATGAATAAATAATTTCTATAGGCATTCAATAGGTGATAACAAACCTTTCTGTCTATTACTAATAAGCTCTACATAGAGTCGTTTTTTCTATATTTTTTTTAAACAGAATCGTTAAACTGCATAAAGCGACTCTTTTTAAAATATTGAATGTATATTGATGCCTAACTTATTAATAAAAGCTTTCATTTAAAACTTACCCGATAGTTCTGTTACGGGAAAATTATTTTTCCTCGACATATCCAAAGCACCGTCATCCGAAAAATCACGAAAATTACAATCATCGTAGTACTTCATACTCTTTTCTAAAACCTCCTTTTTATAGCCATCTTGTGCCGGTTTATTTAAAAAATTAATCTTCCCGCCGAATTCTGAGAACATTCCATTTTCAAAACACTTTGTTTCATTTTCTTTTGTCAATATATCGTTTATCGAAAATGGCGTTGTTAAATTTAGTGTAGGTTTTTCACAGTCTTGTAAGGTAATTGAATCTTTAAATTTTAGTTTCGACTCCATTTTTGCTTCGAACACATTAATTTTAAAATTATTCCACGACGCGTTCAGACCGCAAAGCGATCCTCAAACGAATAAACTTTAGGTGATGAATTGCCCGCCTGTTTAACAAGAGAGCCTCAGAAAGAGATAGAAATAAAGTACTCTTCATATTAATAGTGGGTGTGAGATAGGGATGACAATATATCGGGGCGGTCGTTTTTTAAAAATATTTTAAGTAGCGTAAGTAGTGGGGATCGTTGAGTTTTTCTTGAAGATGTTTACGTGAAATACATTTGATCGCTTTGGTCGTAACCAAATTATATCGTTGTTGTGAATTGGTTGTTTGAGTTAAATTAGAAAGTTTGATATTTTATGACTTAAAAATTTAATTACATTTCAACTGTCCTCTATCCACATGATAAAATTACAAGAGTTTAAAAGACTTTAAAGATTCTTTAAAATTCACTTTCATAAAATATTTGTATTATTGTATCTACATATTTGTATTTTAGTCAATACAGTATTTAAAAAAACAACTTTTTTACATTCGAACCTAATATCTAACACAGTTAGGTACACATACTTTACGCATTAGCATGCTCATATCTACAATGATGATTTTATAAATGAGTCTTTTTATAGACTTATTATTTGTATTCATATTTTACAAAAGATTATTTTTAAATATGCCAATTCTCAATGATACCTTGTTGAAACTGGCACGTAGGAAGCATCTAGCTTCGGGCGTCCTCCGTTAACACGTTGCGTTATCATAAGTACTCGACAAGTGTCTATCTGTCTCACTTCCACATAGCGCACTTAGCCTTTGCCCTTTACTCGTTGTCCCTTTTCATCATTAGTTCGACATTTAAATAGACCAATCAGGTGAATTGAGGGATTGCGGTCGGCCAATAAAAATTGCAAGTAAATGGAAATGTCACATTAAATTTTCTTCATAATACTGTAACGGGATTTATCCCGTTACAGTATTATGAATTAAACTAAAAAAATAATTATGTTAGTCTTTAGACTGCGGATCAATTCGTAGCATAGTTTTTTTTACAATTGTTTTTTTTATTTAAAATTTATTTTTCATATAGGTAGTAATTGTTATGAAGTAATTCTGGATTCTGTTTTTTATAACCTTGTTTGTAGGCAGGCACCTAGAATAATCGATACATCAAGAAAAGATAGAGAAAATACTATAAAATGAAGACATGTTTGCAACCTTAATAGTATAAATAGGTTTTAATTTTAACAGCCTCCATGGTCTAGTGACTAGCGTGTATGGCCGCAGAATCGGAGGTCCTGGGTTCGAGTCCCAGATCAGGCCAAGCTCAGTTTCTGCCAAGAAATTTTCAGCAACAGCCCAGAGTTGGGAAGTTTGCGGTGTGTTACTCCCGTGCCTCCGAGGCACGTAAAGCCGTCGGTCCTGCGCCTTAACTCTCACTGGTCGTGTCGAGCAGTCGTCCCATCGGAGTATGAGAGTGTCAGGAATAGAAAGTGCACTTGTGTTTTCGCGCATAGGTAGGTACATGTGCACTATAAGTATTGCCCGCCGTGGCTGAAATCGGTCGAGAGGACAATATTAATATAAACAGTAGGTGCCTATTTATTATAAATGCTAAATTATGTTTGTTGTGCAAAAATCATTTTATTTAATTATATCAAATTATCAAAGATCCTAGAGAACACTACCTACCTAATTTATATTATTTGAGTCAATACATATGAAATACTAGCGACTCACCCTCGTTTAGCTCGGATTCGTCTCTAGGTACGTTTAAAGTATGGAATAGAAAAACTCTTTGAAAAACAAAAATAAATCTATCACACGGGAACCGTACATTTTTTCGGGATAAAAAGTAACATGTGCTATTCCAGACTATAATCTATCTATCTGTGCCAAACATCCAGATCCATTCACCCTTTCTGGCCTGATTAAGTAACAAAAATCTATATCCATCCAAACTTTTGCATTTTTGTTGTATGTTGCATTTATGTGTTGTTAATGCGATTTTGATCATATTGTAAACACATAGACATTTTATTTTACTTGCTGTTTAATGTTTATATTAAAACAGACACATTATTTTTTATTTAAAAAGTGGATATAGGGTAGTATGTAGTTTGACTGGTTCTGTGGGTTTTGATAAGCTGATAGGTATTATGTAAACGTTATCACTGGTAGAAGACTAAAAAATGTATGGAATTGACATAGGTATAAAAATGACATATCAAAGTATAGGTACCTAACGTCATTTCCATATGTTCTTAAGTTTTTTATAACCGGTATTGAAGTGACAAAATATTAGGTATTACACGGGTTATAATTAATACAGCTACCTTACCTACCTATCTAACTTATAAAAAGAATCAAATAGAAGTTGAGGAATTTCTTTTTGAAACAATAACCTCTGAAAAAAAACAAAATGTAAATACCTACTAGATACCTAGTACCTATACTATACTAGTAGGTACCTAGTTACCAGAATGTAGGTAGGTACATTTAGTTTTTTTTTAATTATAATATTATTATGATATTGCATTATTTTGTTGATCTAGGTACCTAGGATATATAAATCACGGCTCACTAAAGGTAAACTATCAAAACTTAGACGTAACAATAGGTAACACGTTTTTATTTCTACCCTTCTTTTGTACATGTATAGGTAGGGACGTACGTATAATAAAATTAAAACCGAGTCGAACCTGTACATTATTTTTTTTCAGCTATTTTCACTATTTTCTTATTTTCAAATAAATATTATTTATATATTAAATTAAATTACTTTTTTATTTTACTTATTGGATTTAAATATGTAAAACAGTCAATTTATATCTACATTTTTTTAATTTTTATTTGAAAAAAGTAGAGATTTTGAAACCAGATGAGATTACTTAAGCAGCCAGTCACTTTTATAAACGCAAGTACTAAATCCTACTACTTAATCTAATTATAATTATGATTCTTCGCAATACAAAGCGCTTTATGAATGTTTTATATTACGTTTAGATGATGTTCGTTTGAGATGAGTGGTTATCTGATGCGGGCAAGTGGTTTGCTACAGACCTCAGAAGACCTATAGAAAAGACACAACTCGTTCTTGTAATAAATGTTATATTACAAGATTACAATAATTATTATTAGGTATATGAAGAAGCAATTTAAAAGGCCTTTAACGTGTACGCCAATGCTATTCTTTCCAGACTAGGTACTACTCAGAGGACCTCGTTCGAGAAAATTTGCATCTGTACAAATTAGCCACTACACGAACTTACATACCTAGTAGATATTTTTAGTTTTTACCTAATAAAAATACGAAAACAGTAACCTTATCATTCTGCTCTATTAAGTGCTATTGTTCGAATATTAAAGAGAGTTAAATAAAGTACCCTGGTTGATTGGATAATGGATATAGGTACCTATCTAATCTCAGGGTTATCATTTTTATACCTAATATTATAATAAAATATTCTAATAACATAATAATATTTCATAGAAGTTCGTGAATACGTAGGCTAAATACCTATATTACGTGATATTGTGATAAACTGAAATTTACAATTTGATGATTAAATAACAAAGGAAACCTTTAACATATTTACCCCGTATTTTATAGTTTACAGTGTTCTAAGTAATTATAGGTACAGTAAATATGTATCATCAAACCAATAAATTAATTTCTAATAAAAATGTGTCATGTCTGTTATTAAGTTATCTGTGGACTTTGTAAGTGTTAGGCGAGTGATCATAAGCGGAGTGTTTGCTGCGGTCACCGCTCCGCCTCGTAACATAGGTATCGATTTCATTTTATTGATTTCTATCAATTATGCTAAAGATATTATTATTTTTATTAGTTGTAGTTATTATATATCTATACATATACTAAAGCAGCAACTTAGTGCAATCTGTACAAGAAATATTTTTAAAAACAATGACTAACGTATTGGGTGGGTACCTACAGGATATAGACCGCAAAACAATAGTTATTTATTTTGTATGTTTGTCTATAGGTACACATATCTGTTTCCTATATGTCTGTTTCTCTGTTTGTCTGTTCGGGTGTTCGCCTTTCACGCAAAAAGTACTGAACCGATTTTAACTAAATTTTGTGTAGTGATAACTTATTACTCGGGTCAACATTTAGGATACTTTTTACTACAGGAAACTTTTTCATGCCCACGGAAAAACACAATAACTGGATCTATCGAGTCGTCCTTAGAAATTTATATGGCTAACGTTGGCTCAACCTTAAGAGTACCTACCTACATCAAAACAATGTACTAGTAAAATTGTAGGTCTTAAAAAGGCCTACAGAAAAGTTTATTATAGCATAAAGGTACTTTCTCTATTATGTTACATATAATTTTTCTATTATTCATTTAAAAAAAACAGTAAAAACAAATCCGTACATTGGCGCCATCCATTGATATTTATTTTCGACATTAAGGTAGGTTGGTTATATTTTCCCATCGTAAATACATTTTAAGTATTTTAATGAAATTAAATTAGGGTATAGGTATAAGTAATATGGTTGATATATGTAGATATAAACTATAAACAATTGTCTATAGGTTTCTTGAGATACCAAAAGAACCATGAAAATATTTTACTGACATTCAGTTAATAAATATCGAAGACAGCTGATCTATTAGGTTAACTAATTATTATCCATAATGTAGTTACCTATATGGGGCATTCCACGCCAAATCAGACGGTTTAAAAAAAATGTTTTTGATTTTCTTAATATTTTGGTGTTTTTTAGTAGGCTCAAAAGAGGCTTCCTGGTAAATTTTGAGATTTTTTTTGATCACTGGTTCAAAACCTCTCTTTTTTTTGTTTGTTTTTTGTTCATAACTTTCTTAATAATGGTGGAAAGTCAACTTTCTTTTTCCAAATTTTTGATTTTGGATGACCTTTACAAAAAATATATAAAAATATATTTAAAATGTTTTTAATCGAGATTTTTTAATTTTTAGTTTTCAATCGTGTTTTTAAAGTTATGTGTAATGTGTTGCATCCTTCGGTTTTTTTTATTTTTTTTATCTTCTAACTCTTAAACCCAGTCTGGTAGTGGGCATTCCATAATTACTATTTTTTTCGAATTTTAAAAATGAAAAAAAAACATTAATTTTTGAAAATCGAAAAAAGAAATAGTCATTAATAATTATAGAAGGCTGTGAAGTGGCCGTTAACTAATTCAACAGGTTACATTAAAAGTATTTAATTAATTAAAGTAACTCATTAATTTCTTTTAAAGTTTTTAATTAAATTAATACATAGACATATACCTATATGCCCAGTGATTACGCGCTTGCTTAAAAAACCAAGGGAAGTAGGTTCCAATCCTCGTCTCTCTTATTATATTCTCTTATATTGATCATGAGGAAACCTGCATGTCTTAAAGAACCTAATTAGCTTTCAAAAGACGTGTAAAGTCTGTCGACATTTATTTAACCAATTTGGTGGAATATAGCCCGAGGCCTCTCGCATTGACGGTAGGTTCGTGCCCAACAGTGGGAAGTTACCAGGGCTAAAGAAAAAATAAAACAATTAGAACAGCCAGTTAGTTTTTAAAATTAAATAACATCTCATTAGATACTAGCCTATTACGAAATTATAAATATTTTTTCACTAGAAGCAGTAAAATATTTTTTATCTGTTAACGTAATACTACATTGATCAAACAAATCACAAAATTTACCTAGGAAGTCCCTTGAGAGGTACTAAAAATACCAAAATATTAAGAATATCAAAAATAAAGTTTTTGAAACCGTCAGATTTGGCGTGGAATGCCCCATATAAAGGAACTACTATTTCGTTCTTTTTAACATGATATTGATAACAAGTTTTTGAAGTTATAGGTACTTCTTTTGGCAGGTTTGGAAAAAATATAAGAGTAAAATTTTTACGATGCGCGCGCACACCGACAGCCAAAAAGCGACATTATGAAGTTAGCTGCATTCCTTTTAGAAAGAGAGAGAGTTGTGATATACGGGATGAAATCTTTAGCTATTTTTGTTCTGTTACGTCAAAGAAGTAGGTATAACTTCTTACGTGCGTACATAAATAAGTATACACTCACGATTTTTTTCTCGAAGTAGGTAATTTTACTGTAGATAAACTCTTAATCAACATGTTTAACTAAAATTAATTTAGTTTCATTTTTCTTTGTTTATAAATGGTTATAATAAAACTTTGCAAGGTAAGTAGTAAGTATTTAATTATGATAGTCGCGGCCCCAAATCTCTGAAAACAGCGGCAGGTTCGTTATTATAAACAACTAGGTAACTACTTAAATTACAATAATAACATTTTAAGCTGAAGTATTTTTTCTTTGAGCTGACCTAATATCAACTATAAAAGTAGAACTGATCACTTTGAGACGTAATTATAATTACTGTTAAAATGTATTTTAAAAGTATAAAATTATAAAACTCCAAGTAGGTATATAAACTAAATAATTCACATAGTAAGTGTATAAACTTGTAAAACTGTAAACATGACAAATTAGTAGTTACTGGTACTGTATA